AACAGTAACAAACCGCTCAAAATAAAGACCAAAAAAATTTATTTTTTGTTTTTTTTTTTCAAACTTTATAAGTGGTAGAATTATTAAGTTAAAGTAGCAAAAATTAGGTGGATACCACAACGAAACAAAAACGCTTACTTTTCAATGTTTATCTCTCAATGTTGAGTAAAGAAATTAGCAACGTAAATAACAGAGAATAAGAAAAATAATGGAAACAGTAAAAAAAAATAGAAAAATTAATTTTTTTCAAGGTTTACTAAAAAAAATTCACTAGAAAAAATGTCTCCCGACTTCTTTTCCGATTAAATATATCTATATATTTTTATACCGTGGTACTGATTTATTATCAGTGTCACTGATTTTTCTTTTAATATTTTATTTCACTAGAAAAGTTTTTGCAAAAATTTCTAGCAACATGTTGCCTGTTTCTCTGTTTGTTTTTTTTATTTCAGCCAAAAAATAATGGAATTTAGTGAATGCCTGAATGAGATCATTCAGATTAATTTGGAAGCTGAAGCAACACAAAATTTTATTGAAGACTGCGAAAAAGTGAACATCGAACTGGAGAATGAACGTAAATCACATGCCGAAGAACTTCGACAAATTAATCAGGTTTGATAAATTAAAACATAAAGTTGTTGTTGTTTTTTTTTCAAATACTTATCACTATTCATGTTGTAAGCGGAAAAAAAAACACAAAGTTCTATTTTCTCATATTAGTTAACTGTAGTTGTAGGATATAAATCATTTGGAAGATACATTAAAAGGTGTGAAGAGTAGTAAAGATTCTAAAAAGGCACTTATTGCACAAAAATATGAGGAAGTGGAACGAGAGTTGGAAAAAACCAATGAAATTTTACGTGAAACTGGTGTAGCTGAAGAGGATTTGTTAACACCAGAAAAATGTTTGCCACCGTTTAGCGATCAGTAAGTATTTGAGTTTAGATTGTTTGTTTTGATATATACATATATCTTTAAATTAATGCTATAAATTGTCGGTGTCTAAAGCTAATAAAAAATGATCGAATACTTCTTGCAGAAATCATTTACTTAAGATGCTAAGTTGTTTGACTTAAGAGAACTAATTATAATTAAAACGACTTATTTAAATGATCAGATAAATTTTATATTATCTCATGTTTGATATCACTTATTTCTATATTACAATCTCTGTATAACAATGACTCATGTAAAAAAAAATAAATAAAAGAAAAAAAAATACTAGCTTATTTTTAAGGGGTTGCAGTAAAGATACACCAATGGCAAATAATACTGCAGCAATTTTGCTTAATCAACTAACACCGTTACCATTTCTGAACTTTTTGCAACGTCAACGAGCCAATTTATTTAGTTCTGCAGAAGATAATGCCAGTATATTATTTGCGGATAAAAATCAAACTACAAACTGTGACCAAACAAAGATGAAGGTTTTTCCAATACCATTTTTCTTGCAGTTTGTAATTGACAACAACTAATTTTACTGCTGTGTTATGTATGCTAAATACTGATCTGATTGTGACATAAAGTATCTGAACGAAAGCAACAATAAATAAACTATAAGCGTAATAGAAGAAAAAAAATAAGGGAGAGGAAATATTATATTATTTTGTACTTTACAGTTAAATACAAAGCCAAAAAAAAACAAGCACAAACATTTACCGTAGTCTTTTGCTTTATTAAAAAAAAAAGGAAGAATATGCTAAAACCTTGAATGTTTTGAAAACATGATATGTGTTGTTTTTTTTTAGGTATGCCAGACGTGTCAGCAATTGATACATCGTAATGCGCCAATTTGCCCGTTGTGTAAAACAAAAAGTCGATCAAAAAATCCAAAAAAGCCACGACGCCGAGACGAAATGTTTTGACGCCAAAATTTTTTCTTTTTTTTTTTTCTGTTGTATTTTTTTCTTTTTTTTTTGTAGGGTAATTATAATAATACAGTTGTTGTTTTATTACTGCTGCTGCTGTTGTTGTTGTTAACGAAGAAGATAATGGCGGTGTTAGATGATAGCTGAAGAGTACGGTGATAAGGATGAACAGGCAAATGATAACACAGTAACAAAAATGTGCAAATTGATCAAACGCTGAACAATGAACAACATTGAAACACTTCATTCAATTCACTTAGTTAGACCAGTCTAATTAGAAAACAGAACAATAAACGCTTTCTTGTTCATATAAAAAAAGATTTTTTTGTAAAGGGACAAAAAATTTTGTAGAAAAAAAAAAAGAAACAAAAAAAAATTTAGCGATAATTTAATTGAGTATAACAAAAGTGCTTTCTGAAGTGTTTGCTGAATTGTTTACTGTTTTTTTGCAAATTTGCTCTTTTGACAACATTTTTTTTTTTTAACCAGTAACTCATATTAATATACATTAATTCAAAAAAGAAAAAATTGAACTAATTTAAATTTATTAATGTAAATTATATATTTTTTTTCGTTTACTTTATCAGTAATTTATCAAAAAAAAAAGCTAATCAACGAATGAAAGCAATAAACTTTTTTTTTTTGAGTTACTTAATTTTCAGTTGACTATTTGTCAGCAGTGACACTATCGTTTTGACTAATTC